ATGGATGGATGGATGGATTTTTTTCTGATCCATGTCATCTGTATTTGTCCCCAGGCAAGGGTCTGACTTTCTCATGTCAAACTATGAAACATACCATTACATTTGCTGTTAGCTAATGTCTTAGAACAAAAGCATTGCTGTATCTCAGTACAATAGTTGCGCATATTACATTATTTGTTGCTTTCCTAATCTTGTGGATTCTGTGTGTTCCAGCTCTGATGGTACTGGCTGATCAGTGACCACTGCCTGTCTGAGGATACCTGCTGCTCAGTTCCCCTCATCATGTCTGGGGTCCATGTAAGTGTTTTTAAAGACTTCTGTCCTTACTGTCTATGGTTTAGGGGTTCAAATGTTCATATTACTCCACGGGTATTTGACCTCAAAGCATAATTTGTGCCACATCTCAAAGTGAAATGATAATATCCTAAAAAAAACACTTTAAATCATGGTTTAAAGAAACAAAAGTGGGGAATGTGTCCACATTTTTTAATTACAAACTAAACTAAAACCATAAACCTGTTGGGATCTCATACCACTTCTGTGTTGCAAGCTTGGTATGAGTGAAAATATTTTCAAATCTGTGGTTTTTTGTAGCAACATTTACATTTGAAGCACTTTTTTATCTTTGAATTGTCAAAATCACTGTTGTAGAGAAATATACCACATACTTTTTATGACATTGTCTTATATTTTTAACTTCAACTATTGTGAGTCTGACAGGCAACAATGTTCAAAGTGCAAATTGACTGGTTGACAAAGAAACCCAACCACAAAGCAGTTATTTATCTGCTTGGTTTACAAAGAGCTCACTTCACTCAAAACATTTTATTGATTGTAGTTATAAGGTCATTTAAATGTAGGTTACTGTAACTCACTCGTTGGGCAAAAATCTTTAACTGGCTTTTAGATCTAAATTCTCTGACTCATTTACAGTTTTTCAGGGTCCGTTGTCCATTTCCATTTTCACTGTCCCAGTTAGTATTGAAGGGACGATTTCACTTCCTGCTCCCACATATTGTAAAACTGCTGTATATAATTTCTAAAGCTATAAAAGCTAAGAAAATATTTTTATGTACAAATTTCTCTAAGTGGTTCTCATGCTTTCTGCTTTGGTGTCATCCGCCCCACCTTAAAACAAATAAAACCGCTTATAAAGTCTCTCCTTGTTTGTTCAAAATATCTGGTCTCTGTGCTTTCGTAGAGGTTAATGTTTTCCTACAACAGCTGTCTGATGTGATTGCTGCTGTTAGATATCAATGACAAAGTTCTCTGTCTAGAAGCAGCAACACAGACTTGTTTATAGCACAATCTAGAAAGTGTTTTACTGTTATTAACCATAAATGCATTCAACATTGGTTTGTTTTTGCTTCAGATTGTTTTTTTTTTGTATGTGAAAGTCACTAAATTAAAATGACAAACAATTTTTTTTTTCATTTCAACATACAACCATCCTAAAAAAGAAAAACACTCAAATTACAGTTAAACTGCATGGTGATCTACTTTCTTTTGGAAAAAAGAAAAAAAAATCTGTGAAAGAAGGAAACCACAGAAACAACTCTCACAGTTTTACCACAGCAGTAAAAAAGGTAAATAATTCACCCTTACAATAAAATTACTATCTAATTAGAACATCATGCTGAGAAACAATGGGCACATTTATTTATTTTTTAAGTTTATTCGTTTCTTAAAAAAACAACATAAATTCAATAAACAATAAATATACAAATCATAAATTAAGTGAAATGTAGCAGAAGAAGAAAAAAATCTTATATCTGCTCCTCTTTTTTCCAAGTAAATAAATTCAATCAAAAGTAGTCTTCAAATTACAAAAACGAAAAAGAAAAACAAAGATTTAACTCCTTGAGCAACAATTCTTACTTTATATATTTACATAGAGTATTTCTCCAACAAATTAATCTTTATCATTCTCTTAATTACATATTTGCAAATTACACCTGTATATGTGCTACTACTTAATACAGTATAGTTATTTAAATATGTTCAGTAGAATATTACAAAGCTTTACAATTTGTATTGTGTGTCTGAATAGAGCAACCTGGCTTTTGGTACACATCACCCACAGTTGCCACTAATCCTCTTCAATGTTATCAGCGCTCGCCAACAGCACTGACTCCCTGAATGGGATCATTTTTCCAGAAACCACTAAAACCACTGAGAAATAAAAGATGACAAAGTTCCCATATTGTTGACCTCATCTTCCAAACTTCATTAAAGTCCAGTAAATCTGCAGAGGCCAGTAAAAAATGGAATCATTCTGATGTTGGAACACCTCCAGAAGTTCAGTGTATTCCCACCCCATGGGTCAGAACTGCTTTAATGGGGTGATTCTTATCTTGACGTTTGAGTGTACTATAAGTTGTCATTAAAAGAAGCAACTTGACATTAAACTCAGCGGGGAGTTCCTCTCCTAACTGTACAATCAACCTTCCTATAGGATCTGTAGCAAGTTTTCCTACAAAAAGCCATCCTTCCTTTTGAGTTTAATTGGAATTATCTGACTGGTTGCATAATGTTATAGCGGTAGAAAAGAAGAGTTTTCTCTGCTGCTGCCTCAGTAGAGCTCCCTGTACTAATGAGCACTATGGACTATGTTTCAAACACATTTGGTTTTTACAGAGAAAAAGCTGCTGATTCATTTCCTCACACCTGCTACTTTTTAGCTTGATTCTATTTACATCACCTGGGGTTCATTTTCATCTATCTGACTTCAAATTAAATATCTGAAGTCAGTATTTTTAATAACAATTTATCTATGAGAAGTTGGTCTTCAGAAATGTTGGAATAATTTGAAATTATTAGCTGATCTTTTGTCATTTAACTTTGATTCTGTCGAACATAATTGTCAAATACTGGAGAACCTTTTTGCACCATTACCTCCAACATTGAATAGAAAGCTGTTTTGTGTAAAGCAGTTCCACTTAGCCTGTCTAAATAGACCGAGCTACATCATTTAAAGATGGTTCCTCCGTATCTTCTGTGTTTACAGGTGCCATGGTCGACTGGCACAGAATGTGTTGCCAAATATAACTTCAAGCCCGGTAATGAACAGGACCTGCCTTTCTGCAAAGGAGATGTACTGACCATCATCGGAGTCACCAGGGTAAGAATAKTGTGTTGATGTAAAATTAAGTTGCGAATTTTAGCTTTTTTCATTAGATGTTTTTTTACCTTTGTCGTGATTTTCAAACTCTGTGCTCTGATATATCAGAGGGGTACGACTGCCCTATAACTTCAGAATGATTAGAATTTTTCAATTGGTTTGGTAACTCTTGGCTTACTTGACTGTTTCAGGATCCAAACTGGTACAGAGCAAGAAACACAGTGGGCAGGGAGGGCACCATTCCAGCCAACTATGTCCAGAAAAGGGAAGGAGTCAAGTCTGGAGGGAAACTCAGTCTTATGCCGTGAGTCCAGAGTGCATGTCTGTGTTTGTAGTTTTCTGTCTTTGCGAATCATGTCACTGTAAAAAAGCAGCCTGTTATTCTGATAGGACACTTCTGGAGAATGGCACGGAAGGACAGGAATGTGACTATGATGAATGCATGTTGCACATCTGTGTCGCTTAACTCTGTGAGCAAGTTGCGTCTCTTGCAACGAGGAAAAATTCAGCATCAAATGGTGGAAAATCTGCCTGGTCTTTTAAAGCTGTTAGCTTTTTATTGTGTCTTCTGTTATTTGTGTCACTGTCTGAAAGGCCAAAACCGTGTGMGCTCTACATCACGGTGACAATTCCGGTCCTTTAAAACGGCGGCAGTTTAAAAAGAGGACACCCCGATAAAAAGGTTTATGCAAATTAAATGAGACAAGAATGCTGTGCTGTTTATGCATCAGGAACACTGGAAGACTGAAATTGTTTGTCTTCACCCTTAAAATCAAAATAAGCAAGTGCCCAGTCTTTSTAAATGAACTACCATATTTATTCAAGTATAATACGTAAAATTAAATCCATAAAATCATCCATAAAGTTGGGGGGATAGTACTATACTCGGATAAATATTTTTACTTATACATTTATATCGGCTTCATTCACAAAAAGCCTGAGTCCCGAAATGAGACCGCGTCATAAAAAGCAGTTGAAGCGAGCTTACCTCTGACACTCCTTCATTCTTCAGAGCGAGATAATAACAGATCCAGGCAGGCGACATGATGTGAAAAAAAGTTGGGGAAAAGCAGTCTTGCACCTTAGTAATGAAAGCGAATTGACATTAGTGTGTGGCCGGGCCGCTGCTCAAACAACAAACACATTTGTCTGTAATGGCTGCCGTCTACCGGTGTTCTGAAAAGTTTTTTATCCCTGAAAAAACGTTTCCCCACCAGAGGGGGCGTTCGCGAGTAGGAAGTAATCTGCTTTTCCCACAGAAGATGGTTCAAATCTCATGTGAAGTCTCTGACTTTTGTGTTGGCGCATCCTGGTGGACTATGTGTAAAATGCCAGAATTCATATGATGCTGCTACAGCTGATATATTTTTGATGTCAAAATACCTTTTAGTACATTTTATTAAAATAAAATGAACAGTCCAATGATCATTTTACTGATATGTATAAAGACTGCAAAGGCTGAAAAATCTTGAAGTCTGTGTGAAATTGGAGGAAGTTTGAGGATTTAATTTTTTATGCTTTTTAAGCTAAAAAAAGGGGGGTTATTATACATGAGATCATATTATACACAAATAAATACGGTAGTTCCTGATTTTTTTCAGCACATGTGGTCTTCTAAGAAAACGTTCTAGTCAATTCCAGGATGAACTCAACTCAGTTTTTTAAGTCAAACTTAATTATAAATCTAGGTCAAGTGTTTAATATTTAATAAACTTCCAAAAAATATAGTTATTATTTTAGTGATTTTCCTTTGTTTAAAAGATGTTATACCGGAATATAAAGAGACTGTAGCTTAGACCATCTTATGTAAAAACAACTAACCTCGTTTTACTACAAAGGAAGCTGTAAAGATCAGTACATACATGCATCCACAGTAGTGTTCATGACGGTGCTTGTCAAAAAGTTCACATCAGCCGACTCTTAAAAATCTTATAGCAGGAAACCCTTAAATAGTCTTTTGACCCTCTTTGTTTCTCTGTCAGCTGTTGCTGAATGCTTCAACCTCCTCTTTTTCCAGCCGTCTTACAGTCTGTCATTGTTTGGATCTCGGTCACTGTAGGCATTTACGCACTGCAGGGCTGGGCCCCCAGATGGCCTAGGTCCGGCCCTGCCCAGCCCTGGATGTTTTGCACTGTCATCAGAGCCGCCTCGAAGTAGGTGGGAACTGTTTACCGGAAAAGCACGCATAACGGTCCTTAAACGTCGAGTGAGACGACGAATGGTGATGCGCAGAAGAGCRGAGAGTTTCCGAAGGCTGTACTTGGCCATACAACAGCAATAGAAAGCGGCTATTATGAGACACAGACGGCATCGACGAGTAAGCTAGCAATATTAGCTTGTTACATGCTACCGTAATGAAAGCAGTTGCTTTTTCATAGATCTATATGTTTTTTAATGACTTACCAGACTCGTTTTGACTCGTCAGAGCAAAACAAATAAGTCGTCAAACTGGGCCGGCCCGATTGGAACCTCGCCTGGCCAGGTTCCAGAACTCGGGCTGGATCTGGCCCTACTATGCTTATGCACAACCGCCGAACCCGGATTAGAAGTCGGGCCGGGCCGGGCTGGGCCAGGGCCGAGCCGGGGCCGGCCCTGCAGTGCGTAAACGCCTGACTGAACAAAATAAATAGAATAGTAAACTAAACAATAGTATGAATAGTATGAAT